CTGCAATCCTGGAGGCACACTCTTTAATGCCTGCAATCCTGGAGGCAGGAGTAAACAGATCTGTGAGTTCAAGGTCAGTCTTGTCTGCAAACAAGTTACTGGCCAACTCGAACTAGATAGATAGTAAGATATTTATATCGCAAACAAACAAATAAGTAAAAACTTATAACAAGTACATAACAATATTGCACATAAATGCCACAGGAACAAGAAGAAATAAGCCCACTTGTCCAGTCAGAGACAGAGGTATCCATCCCTCTTCCTCTGCTGGCCTGGAAAGGGTGTGGACATGATGTAGTGAACACAAAGACTTCAGCATTCAGAAGCACGATGAACTTGTGCAGAAGGGCACCTTTCCAGCACCTTCAAATAGTTGGTATTATACAGACTATTCAACACGAGAGTTCAAGATCAATTCAAAAGGAAAATTCAAAATATTTCACACATTTGGAATTTAAAAAATCCCTATGTAATAAATACATCAAAAAATAAAAACCAAAAACAATGGAAGGTCGAAAATGCCTCCAAACCACTGATATCAAAATTACCATCTATGGCAGCACTAGGTGCAGCTAAGGCAGCGTCCAGAGGGGAATGTGTAGCCAAAAATCCAACCTAGGATGACAGAAAACAACAACAAACTGAAGAGGTGACGATGGGCCAACATCAACATTGAACCAGGCAAGGGAAGCCACAGGGGTCCTGGCTCTACAAACTCCAAAGTCACACAGAGTCCCCTTTCATGCAGCAGACCCGGTTCTCCTTGCTCGGGCACCTTCACATAAGATGGGGACAGGAATCTTCACTGTAGGAAAGTCTTTCATTTATTTCCCCACCACCCTTCCCCTTCGTGGACTGAGGAACTGCACCGTTAAAGCTTAAGCATGCATCTGGTTCACTGGGTGAGCCAGGAGAACCCTTAAACCTGAGGAGCCTCTCTTCCTACCAGGACAAACGGGTTCCTGTGCTGACCTGCCGTTGGTTCTACAAGGGGATCGCGGATAACCTGTAGGAGCTCTCAATAGAGCGTCTTTTCACCAGGTGCCAGTATTTCCACCCACTATGCACCCCTCCTGCGTATCTATTCCCCGGTGTCCCCAGCACTGAGAACCTGCCCCAAGTCTTGGACAAGAATCTTGACTAGCACAAACGGGGCTGGAGGGAGCTTGGAGTCAGATCATCGGATGGAATTTACCCAACCACTGACTGCATAAAGCCACAGCACCGCGGCGGACTTGGGCTCCTGACACCCATTGTCTCCCTTTTCTGGGCCCCTACTGCATTCAGCTGGAGACCAGCCCTGCTCACCTGGGTTGCTGCGAAGCCAGGGGCAGTCCTCCACTTTCATCTTCCACATCAGCTCCTGCAGCGAGAGTTTGCCGTACTTCCCCAAGGAGATGAACTGCTTCACGTTCTTAAAGAAGTGGCGCTTGTTGTGCCTAGTACCCCAGAGACCTGAAGGTACCAGCTTTCGGATGCAGGCCCGCAGAAAACCATATACCTGCCAGGGACTGCTGTGTAGGCGGAGCAAGTTAATGAGGTGCGGTGGGTTGGTGTTTAAGGCACCTGCCACCTGGTGGGCTGCTGTCCGGAACCTACAATGTGACCTGAGGAGTCTGACATATGAGCACCTTGCATGGTTCACAAGCAGCTGCTGGAATAGGGGCCGCATCTGCCAGTAGCGCCTCGGCAGGCGGCGCGCCCTGCATAGTGTTCCTGATGTTCGAGGCCTCGAGCCTAGAAAGATGATCTCCACCAGTCTCCTGGCCCCACTCAAGTTAGGCTGGAGGTTGTTGAGTAGAAATGAGGGGTTCAGCCTTTCTTGGCCACTTACCCTGGAGTAGAGGAAGCGTTTGGTCTCAATAAAAGGTCTGGGCTGAAAGGCATTTTGACATAGCGGTGACTGCAAGGATGTGGAACTGCGCTTGTGCTTACAGAACACTGACCCAGAAAGACTCAGGCCAGGTGCCTTTCCTCTGGAAGACAAATCTTTGGTAGCTCTACTAGTAGGTACTGCGGGGAACTCGGCAGGCCTTGGCACCCGTGTTTTGTCTGATGGGGTTGGAACCGCCTGCTTGTCGGGTCCCTTCTCCTGTCTCAGGGCCAGATTGCACCTGGCCTTCTTGGATGAAGGCACACTTCTATTGGTGATGCCCAGACTCCGCTTCATGCCTCGAGATGGCAAGTTCAAGGGTTTCCATGCTTCCTGATAACTGCTGTTCTTGACCGGGTGTGTGGATTCAAGATGGGTAAAATTTCTGCCCGCGGGTCGTGTGAGCCTGTATCTGGGGGGCACAGAGGGCCAGGTATCCGCGGTGCTATGGATTTGGTACAGGGGCAAGCCGCACACCTGGTAGGCACAGGTCGGGGGCACCAGCAGGTAGAGCGCACAGCGGGTCAGAAGGTAGACCAGCAGGTCGTCGCCCACTCGGCTCAGCAGAAGCATCCATGCACGACTGATGCGCAGGTTCTCAGTCACCGAGTTGGGCAAGTAGCTTCGCACGCTAGTAGTGAAGGCTATGGGGGCCCCGCCTTGATTCCCGCTAAGCAGCGCGAAGCCAAAAGCCAGCACGTTTCTCTCGCCGCGCTCACAGAGTCGCTGCAAGATCCTGGCCACCAGCTCCTTCAGAGATGACACCTGGTAAGAAGAGGTCTTGACACGTGAGCTGTGAGCTGTCCGGCTCTACGCCCCCAACCCACGGGGATCCCACCCGGAGGCCCACCTGATGGAAGGAAAGGTCAGCAGGTGGAGGCTGCGAGCCCCAGGGCACACACACTAGACACTGGGCCACCAACGTGCGGAAGGCCTTTGTGTCCCCAGGTTGCACGAGTGGCCTGCCCTCAGTTCCCAGGCGCAGCACGAAGGTTGCCAGCGGCCACACCTCGCGGTACCGGCTGCGCAGCAGGGCGCGCACAGCCCGGCAACGGGGCGCGCGGGGCATCGCGCTCAAGGTCCGGCTGGGCCTCCAACGTGCGGGAACTTCGATCGAGGGCTGTGCACAGAAAATGTCAGGATGCAGGACATTGAGAGCCCGCGGGGGATAAAGGCGGGGTCGGGACGGAGGAAGGGGCGGGATTCGAGCGTAGCGGAAGGGGCGGGGTTGCACCAATAACACTTTTCTGTAGATGGTCCCTGGTCCCCCAGTTGGCGCTTAGGGACTACCGACCAGTCTTGTTCCTCCAGTGGAGTTCATTGGTTGCGGAAAATGTAACCCGAGTTCAGTGGTTGCGAGGAGTAACAGGGAGAGGCGCGGTCACGAAGGTTGCCCTCCACAGAAACCTTCTCGGTCCTTTTTTTGCTCTGAGCTGGGGAATCCCAGGTGGCCTAGACTGGGGGGGGGGGAGGGGCGAGGGGCGTCGCAAGCAAAGACGCCTGTCCTCGAGAGCCTGCGAATTCGGTGCAGGCAGTGGGTAGTGGCAGTCGGAGTTCTTTCCAGACAGGTTTCACAATTACCGACGGAATTCGACTGTACAGGTTCTTAAAGCTTTATTGTGGTACTACCATAAACTCATCTCCCAAATAGGTTCCATTAACAGCCACCACCAAAGGAGGAAGACCAAGTGAAGCTGTGTGTCCGCTTTTCTTACTGTCACAGCGGCCTTCACCCCAGGGTCCAGAGCTACGGATCATCTCCCACTCACCTCAGAACAGCAGTCCTTCTAACCGGAGACTGGCAGTTTTAACGGTACTTGCCAGCGCGGGGGAAGGGCGCTGGGAGTTATGGCACCGCGCTCTAGGTAGGGGACATAAGTCATAGCTAGGAGTTGGGAAATAGGGAATCTGTGCTGTTCACTGTAGCTCAATTTGGCAAACACTGAAATGCTAACAAATCTAACCTTTGGTGCCTTCAGCTTTCTGAGGAAATTGCTTCTATCCACCGATCTAGCATTTGAACAGGCCTCAAGCCCTTCCGACAGGCGCTTTTTCATATTTACTCCCTTGTAGGAGGTCTGCCGCCTTGTAAATGCTCAGGATTACAAGTGTTATTTTAGAAGGCCATTTAGTGGGCATCAGCTTCTTTGAGGGGGTGTTTTTGAGGTTTGCTGGGTACTGCTACTTAGGAGATTTGGGACTGAACTGAGAAATTCGTGCCAACAAAGAAGTTATCTTAGTGTGGTTTCCCAAAGAAACCAGCATTGAAAACAGATTGAAAAATTAGAATATAGCTGGGCATGATGGTTCATCATTGTAATTCTAGCTCTTGGGAGGTGGAGGCAGGAGGATGAGGGGGCATTAAAATTAGGCCAGCTGCACTGTGAGTTTAAGGTCTGCTTGTGTCAAGTGAGACCCTGCCTCAAAAAAACAAAGAGGAGGAACGTGGGTAGCATGTGCTGACATGAACCCCTGGGTTCAAGGCCCAGAAAACAAAGCAGAAAATATGTGCAGAAGCTGTCTGTGAGCTATGATGGAACCTGTGGACACACAGAGAGCATACTTGTAACAGGCCTGCTTTAGAAAGCTCTTCTTATAGACGCTAGGCCAGACAGAGGCTATCCCAGAGATAGCAGGTGGTAGAGGTTAGACCCTGCAGGAAAGAGGCAGAGGAGAGGACCCCAAGTGTCCCTATCCACATAGGGAGAGTCTCTGTAGGAAATCCCTGGGGCCTGTCATGCTCTGGTCTATTACCCCAACCTGCTGGCGGCAGCAAGTCACTCCAGAATCCTGCCAAGGCTCTGGATGTGATGCTGTCCTGCTGTAGCTTGCCAGGTTCAGGCTTCACGGGAACACTGATTTGCTTCTTAGTGCTCAAGATGGGAAGATGAGAATAGTAGTTTTCATTTACATAGTTTGTCACCGACACCGCAATTTCACACCTATTATTGATTTGACCAACATCAAACAGTTGAGGAAGTATGAATGAATGCCACCGTGCACTTTTGTAGGCCAGAGTCTGGTGATTCCCTGATATCACAGACAGCAGAACCTCGAGAGAGTATGTACTGGTTCTGGACTTAGGAGCCCTGACACTGACCAACTTGGTCTCTTGGGATATGTTGCCTTGTTCTGTTTCCTCGGTGGTACCTTAATCCATGCTGACACCACTCCCATCTCTGTTTGCTTCATCCTGCACATTAAACTGCCTATGAAAACCAATAAAAAGTACTTAGGGCACAAAAATCTCTTTGAATGTCGTTATTTAATCCTCATAGCTTGGCAAACAGAGCTCAGTTCCTTTTTTACATCTTTGGATTTTCGAGACCTTGAAAGTTATTTGATGAAATTTAAGAAAATAGTAAGATAAACTCATCCACTTGGACTTGGAAAGGTTGCATTTGCTTATGGAATTAAGTTTCTTAATTGCTCCTGTTGTAAGCACATAGCTGGCTAGCTTATGTGTTTCTTTCTCAGAGGATGGGGTGTCTGTGAAGCCCTTCAGAAGAGGGGTCTCTTCCAGGCTGGGCAAATCATCAGATCCGATGTGAGCTGTTTGCAATCGTGAATAGCAAGGGGGAAGGGAGAGAGAGTTGAATGATTAAGTCACTGGCTTCTGACTTGAGAAAAACGGTTCAGGTTTTCAGTATTTAAAGAAGGTGCTTATTAACCCCTTCCCCTTCCTTAAAGAGGCAACTCTGCCACTGCTCAAGAGCAGAGGAAAGCCTGGCCACCATGAGATGATTCGAATCCTTCTGCATGCTGCATCTAGCATCCATCACCTCTTCTTCATCATCGCAGCAGGTTTTTAAATACTCCAATTCTTTTGTATTACCTTAACAGCAGCTGGAAAGACCTTTGACAAATACATGGGAGTATTTACCCTCCTGCTCAACACACCCACCACAGTCCTCTCATTACCTCCCAGCCTTTTACTCTGGGCTTCTGAACCTCACACTATGGCTTCTGCATCACCACAGTGGTGTGTGTGATTCTGAAAACAATGCTGGTCCCTGCTTTTTTCTCATTACAGTGGTGTGTGCGTGTGTGTGTGTGTGTGTGTGTGTGTGTGTGAGAGAGAGAGAGAGAGAGAGAGAGAGAGAGAGAGAGAGAGAGAGAGATTGAGATTCTGAAAGCAATGCTGGTCCCTGCTTTTTTCTCATTACAGTGGTGTGTGTGTGTGTGTGTGTGTGTGTGTGTGTGTGTGAGAGAGAGAGAGAGAGAGAGAGAGAGAGAGAGAGAGAGAGAGAGGAGAGAGAGAGAGACAGAGAGAGAGAGAGACAGAGAGATTGAGATTCTGAAAGCAATGCTGGTCCCTGCTTCTTTCTCACTACAGTGGTGTGTGTGTGTGTGTGTGTGTGTGTGTGTGTGTGTGTGTGTGTGTGTAGAGAGAGAGAGAGAGAGAGAGAGAGAGAGAGAGAGATTGATTCTGAAAACAATGTTGGTCCCTGCTTCTTTCTCACTACAGTGGTGTGTGTGTGTGGGGGGGGGAGGTTGATTCTGAAAGCAATGCTGGTCTCTGCCAAGTCCTCAAGTCCTCTCTGGAATATAACAAACGTTGCACATTTTAGGTCTTAGGATTCATAGAATTTAACAAAATAAAAACACAGAAGCAAAAAACAAAACAAAACAAAACAAAAATTTTTCTAAACATAGCACTCAGGAGGCTCAAACAGGATGGACAGGAATTCAAAGTGATCCTGAACTACCAAGCAGAACTATCCCAGTTTAAAAAAATAAAAAATTTAAAAATCCCAAAACAGAAAGTACAAGAATGAGTGTAAAAAGAAACAAAAAATGCACCCACAATTCCCACAGTATTGTTAAATGTAAAAATTCCAGCTACTAAAATTGATCCACAATATGACTGATACAAGTTTATGTTTAGAATGAAAAGTCAGGAAGGTGAAATATAATTAAGGATCAGGTCAGAAGATGTGGAAAAGCAAATACAGCTTCCAGAGACAAAATGAACACACAAGTCAAAGGAACAAAAATTACAATAAATGAACCAGGTATCAAGTAAAGTTATCTTAAAAGAAAACAGGTAATGTGGAAGTAAATGAAAAGATAAGGGCATCCAGGAAGGCACAGATTTGGAAAACAGGCTGCAATTTTTCCACTGTTAGACATGTACTCATGATTAATGTATACTAACCAGAAGAAACAAAAAGAACTACACAATGAAAAAGGGAAATCCTGAACTCAGACAGAAGGCAGACTTTTCACCAAGCAAGTACTTCAGACTGGAGGAACTCATGATGACGGGACCACCGAGGAAAGTCATGGCCAGCTGGCCACTGTCCTACCCATGTGTCCAGGAAAGCCTGGCTTTCAGGAGTGGAGTAAAGGAAGATGCTGTTACCTGTGCTACAACTCTGACATCAAGGCACTTTTGAAGTAAGAGCCATTTTTGAGCTTTTCTTCCTTGTGAGGTTTCTGTGGTAGATCCAACGTTTCAAAGGGAAAAGTGGTCAAAGTTACCTGAGTTTGAGGTCAAAAGATGTCTGTTCTGCCTGAACTGTCAGAACTGGCACAAGGCTATCCACAATGCATTACTGTTACTCCCAACTATGCAGAACCTGGTAACCGGGCCTCTCTGCTTCACCACCTGAGCTGGGATGGTAGTGATTTCTTTGGTCTTCTTTAAGAACCAGCTCTGGGGATCCTGGGCTTCTGTGTAGCTTTTCTGCTGTTTCTTTGAATTTTATTTTGATTTTATTATATCCTACTTACTTCAGGGTTCTTTTTCTTGCCCCAAGAGACATCTTGGACATTTAACCATTTTTAGTTTCTGCTACAAGTGTATAGGCAGAACAAATTTTCCTATTACTGAATTGCTGCACATTAAGCTTCATACACAGTTATTATAAATTTTGGTATTTTGTTTTCACAATTCAGGTGAAAATATTTTCTAAGTCCCCCTTCTTAAAAGACAGGGTCTTTCAATATAGCCCAGGATGGTCTCAAATTCATGGTAATCCTCCTGCTTTAGCCTCTCAAGTGGTGGGATAACAGGCATGTGGCGCTTTGCTTTCTTTTTTGACTCATGGGTTATTTCAAAGTGTTGTTTTTAAACTGTCTTACCTCCAGGAACAGGGTCTTCACTGGTAAACATTCCATGTGTTCTTTAAAAATGTTTTGCTAATGTTGTTTAGGAAGGGTCCATGAATGTTAACTAGATGATTGCGGGGAGTGTGTTCTGCCTCCCATATTCTTACAGACCTGCATGCTTGTCCTGTCATTGCTGTGAGATTTCTGTCATTTGATAGATATAAATGTTACTTTCTCTCTAGAGGTCAATCTCTGCTTATTAGTTCGAAGCTCTGAGGTCAGCCATATAAACATGACTAACACGTCCCGATGACAAAATGCTATATATGAGAAGACATACTTTACACCCTGGTCACATTTTCTCCTAAAACCTATTTTACCTGACACTAATGGGGCCAGTCTAGCTTCATTTCGTTCAGTATTAATATATTATTGTTTGCTTGTTTGTGCCTTTATATTTAAAACAGGTTTCTTAAAAGCTGCACACAACTGAGGCTTTTTTTTTTTATTCAGTCTGGCAATCCTTGCCTTTTTTATTTGGAGATGTGAAAGCCATTTGTATTTAATGTAACTATTAAGTTTACTGTGCTGCGGTTTTCTACTTGACCCATCTGGTCATCTTCCTTCATTTTACAACTTTGTCTTCTCTTGCGCTTTTTTTTGGGGGGGGGGGAGGAACAAGGTCTCAAGTAGCCCAACAAGTGAACTCACATATATATGAGGCTACCCTTGAACTCCTGATCCTCCTATTTTCTAACGCCCAAAATTATACATATGTATGACTTGGATTGAGTTCTTATACGGTTCATTTCGTCTCTAATAACGACTTAATGGAAATACCTGTTTGGTTTGAGGACTTATAGTATGCATCTTTAAACTATACAAGTGTGCTATGTCACTGTAGGGGCAGCAAGCTTTGAGGTTTCCTACACTCAAGTTACTGCGTAGTGTTTTAGCCATTTCCTGTTGTCTGCAAGATTCAGAGCTCTCAGCTACTGCTCCAGCACATCCGCCTGTATGATGCCATGTTCCCTGCCATAATAGTGGACTGAATCTCTGAAACTGTGAGCTGCCACATCAACTCAAGTAAGTTTCCATGGTTGTGGTGTCTCTTTACAGCAACAGAAACCCTAACTAAGATAGAAGTTAGTATTAGGGACTGGGGTATTGCTGTGATCGGCCTGACTATATTTTTGTTTGGAGTAATATGGATGTTGTGAGTCTGAGTTAGGAAAGCAGTGGAATGCTTTAAGCATTGCTTAATAGTCCATACAATTAGGTGCATGGAGGGTAGTGGTGCTGAGTGTGATTTGATGAACTGTGGGGATCATGAGGTTTCAGAGAAGAATGTTAGTACGTGGCCTAGAGATTGATCTTATAATATTAAAGTGGCTGCTTTTTGCCCTTCCCCAAAGAGTCTGTCTGAGGTTCAAGTGAAGAGTTTTGTACTAATTCTACTGGCAGAGAAAATCTCAAAACAGTCTAGTATAGAGTCTGCTTTGTGGCTACTAGTATTAACTCTAATGAAGATTTTTAACAAAAAGGAGCAGGCTGAGAAAGGAAAAATATTTGAGGAGAAAAAACAGAGCCGTGCTGGTATTTTAATCTTTTGGCTTTTTGGTTTCTCCTGAAAATTTTATTTTCCAAAGTTGTCCTGGCATCCAGAGCTGTATGGTTTTAACAATAGGTGTTGTATCATTTAATCACTTTGTGGAGGGTTTCCCCCCATTCTGGCAGAGAATGACTGAACTACATCTGACACTGGGGCCTGTGAGAAGCCCCACCAGGCATTTCCTGTTGGCAAAAGGTTACCTTGCCTGTTCCTTGTCAATCGACATTCATTAGTCTAATGCCCAGCTTTGCCACACCTTCTGTACACTCCAACAGACCATTATGACAGGGAGCATGGTGAACGCAGGCACACATGGTGCTGGAGGAGTTCTACATTTTGCAGGCAACATTTTGGTGCCCAATGTGGGCCTCTAATGTCCATGACCCTGGAATTAAAAGTCCCATCCTCTACAGACTGAGCAAGCCAGGCATTTCTAAGAATAAATCTCTGTGTGTGATTTATTTGGGAGCTGGGTGGTGGGCCCCTAAAAAAAACAAAAAAAAACAAAACAACCAACCAACCAAACAAACAAAAAAACCAAAGAACATGTGGTCCAGTGATGACCAAAGTATCTTTTTACATTTTGCAAATGAAACTGTCTTAGTAGGGTCCATTTGCTGTGAAGAGACACCATGACCACAGCAACTTTTTTAAATATTTATTTATTAATTATGTATACAATATTCTGTCTGTGTGTATGTCTGCAGGCCAGAAGAGGGCACCAGACCTCATTACAGATGGTTGTGAGCCATCATGTGGTCGCTGGGAATTGAACTCAGGACCTTTGGAAGAGCAGGTAATGCTCTTAACCTCTGAGCGATCTCTCCAGCCCCACGGCAACTCTTATAAAGGAAAACATTTAATTGTGACTGGCTTGCAGGTTAAGAAGTTCAGAACACTGTTGTCCTTTTGTAAGAGTTGTTGTGGTCATGGTGTCTTTTCACAGCAGTAGAAACCCTAGGACAGTAGTCTTATGAGATGACACTGCAATACCTCAGTTTGTACAGCATCTGCTTACACAAGAGCCATTTTTCAGAACCTGTCTCTGCCACTGTGA